ATCAAATGTAAAAATGTATCAATATTTTTTTATATTTTTTAAAAAAATATTAAACAAAATTAATAATTGTTTAGTTTCTTTTTTTAGACAGGTCAGGTCAGGTCAGATCGGATCAAATGTATATTTAATTCAGGTCAATTTTATGTCTGACCCGACCTGATCTTATCAGATCGGGTCAAGTCAATTACTCAACCTGACCTGACCTATTCAGAGCTCTAGTATATTAGCAGTAATTAATTAAAATATCTTACCAGATGATTTCGATATAAAAGTCATAGACTTAACCAGTCCAAATACAGCTTTTGATGATGATATTGGCTATGAAGATGCACTTGAAGATGAACCTATTACTGAACAACCTAAACGTAGAAAATTAATATCAATACACCATAAGATAGCACAAATCTTGAAAATCGTATTAAAGTAGCATTATATTAATCAATGAATCATTATTAAAAAGTTCTTCAAGATTAAGGAATATTGGCTGCTTTGTTAGATCTGAGGTTTAAAGAACTTGAATTTGCCTCTGATTCATTACGCATTAAAACTCAAGAGTAGTTAAGAGATATTTATCAAGATGCAAAGGATTTAACCGATGAAGATCAAGAACCTGAATTACAACCAGTTTCATCAAATTCATTGTTAGCAAAAATATTTGGTAAACAATACCATTTATGATAAAGTAGCTAGTTATTTAGCTTTACCTAAGGTTCATCCCGATGACTATTCTTTATTATAGTGGAAAATTAATAAGATTCGGTTTCCAGTATTATCAAAATTAGCAAGGAAATACTTGGCTATCCCTGCTACTTCAACTCCAAGTGAAAGGCTTTTTAGTAAAGATGGTAATATAATGACCATAAAAAGAACACAGTTAGCACCAACCACATTAGAAAATTTGGTTTATTGTAAAAAAAAATTGGCGTTTAGCTGGAGGGTTTTTCCATTAAAATAGTGATGTAACGTCAAAAGGTCGAGAAATTCAATTCTTACCTATAGTAATGATACCAATGATATCAACGAAGATGTATTTATTGAAAATAAAAAATCTTTTTTTGAAGGATTTAATTGAGAAAAAACTTGCAAAGTACAGTGGCTTAGAGAATGTAAAATTAATATACATAATAATAAACTTTTACTTTTTTAATAAAATTTTTGATAAATTTTTATCCGTCATTATCTGCTTTACTATGTTATTATCTGGGTAACGGATTTATCTGTGAAATAAATTTATCTGCGTGGATTTATTCAGATTTGCCCAGATTTTTCACAGATAGCAATCTGTATCTGTAATGGAGTCTGTGAATTATCTGTTTGTGGATAAACAGATATCTGGATCGGATCACTAATTAGGAAACTATCTATATAAATAATAGGAAAAATGCTATTGAGAGTGCAATAGCTATTCCTGAAATAATATACTATAAAATTCTTTATTAATAATAGGTAAGATATAGGATTCTATTAGTTGGATATGTAGAAACAAAGAATAATAGACATTACTTTAGATTTTGCCAAAAATTCAAGTTTAAATGAAGATAATTTAGAAAAATGATAAGATAATGATATTTTTCCAAATATATTGTTAGATTATTAAAGGTCTTTTAAAGGTACAATTTATTATTAGAGAATATCCAATACATTTAATCATAATAATATGTTATAAAGGGTTAGTGTGACTTTTAATGCGCATAGCAAAGTTATAGATATCTGAAGGATGATGATTTAACTTAATAATCCTAAAAATTTGTTAGAATTATAAAAACAAATATCACGTTTTACTGTATAAGTACAACCAATAAATTCGTACTACGTACAATCTATTTTTGAGTAAAAATGGGAATTTATAAATGCGTTTTTTTAACCCGTTTTTTTTTTTTTTTTTTTAAAAAAAAAAATACAATATGAAGAATAATATAAAAATAATGATATATGTGATAAATTTTTTCCTAATATTACAAGTGAGTTCAGAATTGAATGACATTTTATTCTCGAAGAGAAAATAAACCATTTACTAAATTAATTTATTTTAGGTTATACCGACAATAAGAGCACAAGATGATGTATATAGAGGTTTAGGAGTTCTAGCTTCATCACAAACCTGGTATACTTGTAGCAAACAATTAACAAACTATATTAGTATGTAATTTCATTAATTCAGCAATTTAGAGATTTTTTATTTAATAAATATTCCGTTTTGATAGATTATGAGATGAAAGTGGTGGAAACTGATCAAGAAAAATCATCAAATTTTGGAACATACGCAAAAGGACCTACTCCTCCGCCAAAACAACCAGGTATATTGGGGTTATTAACATATGTAACCAATTATACAGGTATACAAAATTCTATAGATCCAAATGGGGTAACATCAATATATTGGCCAGAATTATCATGTTTTGAATTTCCTGCATTGGAATGTCAAAGAGAGAAAGATCCACCTTTTGTCAGTAATCTAATCGTATGTTTAGGTATAACAAATCCACTAAATGTTGAAAAAAAATTTACTTTATCGATCTCCTTTGTTGAAGGAAAAAAACCACCACCACTGTATATACCACCTGCTCCTGCTGCTTCTATTCCTTTCACTCCTAGTCCTACTCCCAATAAAATTAAACCACCTCCACCAAATGATATACCAACAAGTCCTCCTTTCTTTTACGCCACTAATAATGGATTATCAAATATTTTGTCAAACATTAATGTATTTGGATTATCATCAACCATTCTATTAACGACCATATTCATATTTTGTAATATATAATAATAAAAAATTTTTTTAATTCATACGGGGATACCCTCATTAATTATATTAACTCCTACTCAACCCCTAAACCTATAATGACAAATAAAGATTTTGACACAAAAAATGAATAGTGAAAGGTATGATATTACGTGACAAATTACGGAGTATTTGATGTAATAATAATAATTTACATTTTCAATAAAAAAAAAAATTTATTTTAGATAATATAAAATTATAAAATTTAAATTTAAATAAATTAATAATAATAAATGATAATAAATAATAATGATAATAATTTAAAAATAAAAAAAATCTGAGAACATTTCTCTTTTTTGACAGGCTTATTTCTGTTTAATTGGTTTTCTTACTCTTTTTTTTTTGATCCTCACGGACAGTATTAGTCAAGTATAAACAACTTTGCAAGAATAAGGCACCAGGTATCAAAACCCATATGAAATTAATTCCAAAGAAATAAACCCAAAAATATAATGGTTCAGGACGCGAATGAGGGAATCCTTCCAATAATGTCGTCGCGTAATATAATACTAATCCATATAATTGACCTAAACTTGTTATCAATTGTAAAACATGTCGTGATGGCCAATTTTGAAGTATTCCTATGGCCGACAAATAAGCTGTTGGTCCAATACAAACCTAATGAATACCGAGGAAAAAAAAATAAATGAAGGAGAAGATGATTAGCCACGAGATTTCTTGATATATATATATATTATTTTTTTTAAAAAAAAATAAATTGTTACCGCAGTGATCCCTTCCATATTAACCACAAATGAATCTGAAGTCATGTATCTTGAATCACTTAAAGAATACTCTTTCCACATTTGAGCAAATAAAAAATTATCAGATTGAATTGTTTTGTGAGAATATGTAAAATATCCTTCAAAAAATATATGAATACTTCCGGTTATAATTAACCATACAAATGCAACTTTGTTTACCCCGCTAACGTTTCGTTTTTGAGAAATAATTGAAAAGGAAACTAAGGTGATCGTAATCGCTGCAGCAGCAAAAACTCCGATTAAATATTCCGTTGAATATGTTTTTTCAGTGAAATTTGGTAGCTTTAATCAATCGAAAAATTTACATTAAATTAGCAATTGAAGACATAAAACATAAATACAAAGATTTTAAAATCTATAATTATATACCTTGAGATCTGTTGGGTAATACGGGTGCTTCGGAAGTTCCGGTTCTGAGATAACTTTTAGAACTTGCTCGGGCAGCTTTTCCTCATTGTGAATTGTAAAATACGACCATATTTTTTGCAACATCTTGAAATCCTCGCTTCTAAGGGAAAAAAAAAACACAAAAATGTTCAAGAACGAACTTTTTTTTTATAATAGGTGTAGTAGAATAACTGTAAAATTTCATGGTAAATTAACCCAAATTTTAAAGTTTCATAATGCGCACATGGTTCACAACATTTGGGAGACTGTTTCCAATCATATGACCGATAATTATAAATTTTTTAAACTAGTATCATTAATTGAAATTACCACGTTTGTCCATCAACAATTGAGATTGGAACGAATTATGGTAAGAAAAGTTTATTTTAAAAGATCTTGGAGGAGAAATGCTCTTTACTACAAATGAAGAGTATGTTTTTTTTTGTTATTATAATGTTATACAGAACTTTTTTTAAGGATTGCATCTCGTATGTATACCATTGTTGTTCTTTAACATAATGTTGATTGATGTGTTTTTTTTATCGGTACACCTAAATTTTACAATAAGAATATTTCAAAAAGAAAATAATTCTAAAAATAACATGTTATTTACTTAAACAAGAAGGGCTTTACAATAATATCATTTATAATTAAACCAAAAATCCAACGAAAACGCATTTTTTATTCCGAACTAAAAAATTAATATGGCAGAGGATCAAAATAGAAATACAGTTTCATGATCTTTAAAGATCGTCGCTAAAAAGACCGGGCTGTAATTTTTTTTTAGCCGAAATAGGTATCAAATTTATTTATCATAGTGATGTAATAAGTTTACTTGATAGCATTTTCGTTATAAATGTGCGTTTTATTTTTATTTTTATTTTTTTCAAAATTTTATACATGTCAGAGAGTAAGTTAAAGTAACTTGATGTAAATTTAATGATTGATCACGCTTCACGTTTCTCAAAAATTTGCATAATTTTAGAGGATCAAAAATTATCAACTCGTGGAGCAATTCGAGCTCATGATGGTCATTTTTTAGCTAAAGATACAGAGAATTCTGTATTAAAATTTCATTGGAATAAAGATGACCCATTAAATGAAAAGCAACAACATACAACGTTTCGAATTAATCAAAATGGAGAATTACATGATGATGATGATAGGAGAGTTATATGGAAATCTAAGAATGAGAAAATTTATTGGATCAAAGTTGAACAATTAGGAGAAAATGAGGTATGTTATCAGTTATAAATGATGATGGTAATTAATTTATTAATAAATTTTGCATGATATTTATAGTATGTGTTGCGAACTATTGATACTGAAAATAGCAAAGTTGAAAAGTATATTACAATTAATATTGAAGATTTGGAATTAAAAGATGAACCCGAAGCTGCTTCTATTTTCACAATAATTACTAATAATATATTAGGGTAATTGAGCGGAACAACAATATAAATTTAGTTTAGCTTAGTAACACAGAAATAAGTTAAACTGATTTGGTAAAAACGAAATGTCATTTCTTAATAATCAACACTACCTTTTTTTTTTTTTTATGTATTATTATTTATTTATTATTTATTAATTTTAATTTTATCGAATATTTACAGTTTATTCATCATTGAAATTAAATAAATTAAATATATTAAATATTTGCATCAAGCAAAAGAAAAATATAAATAATAACACTTTATTTACAATTTATTTATTTACAAAAAATTTTCTCATTGTTTTTTTTTGGTTGAAAAAAATATTACACATGTTTCTACCCATTAATTATTGTTTTTACTATAATACACATCCCCTCAACTGTCACCTCCATGCAAATAATAAATTAATCATCATCAATTAATATAGAACCGTGTTTTGTCACTGCAATGTCCATTTTATCATCATCACAAGAGAGTTCTAATATCTCTTTAAAGTACTCATCCATGTCATCTAAACCTATTGTTAGATATTTGGCTTGTTGTTTAACATCCATCATTCGATCCTCAAATCTATCGAACTCGTCATGGAATCTCGAGGGCCGCTTTAAATGTCGCGTTGCCCCCTTACATTGGGCATTCTGTTCATGGAACATCTCAATCGATTTTTTGATGTTCGCTTCAGTCTCTTTACTTTGTTGTTGATATGATTCAAGCATCTTCAGAATTTCAAAGTTTCGTTCAATTCTCCTCTTAGATGCTTGTTCATCTTGTGCAAGTACATCGTTAAGACTTGGAATCTTGTCGCAATGGACGTTTTCCTTTCCAGTGATTTTGGTTCCTGCTGTGGTTTGTATACTTTCAAGGAAATCATTGTACTCATCATATTGATCGGCTCGTTTGCAGCTGTTATCGTCGTCATCTTCGAATACATAGTATTTTTTTTCATGAAAATACTCTTGAAATTTTTCAAGTGTAAATTCAAAGTTTAAATCTTGATGATTTTGCTTCTTGAGTTTTACTAAAAGTTTTTTGTAACGTTCAACACGCTCTTGCGCAATTTGATCTGAAGTTTCATGTAATGTCAGTGGTTCGTAAGGAATGTAAAATTCTCGATCTTTTTCTCCGACTATAAAATGAAAAATACTTTGGTTATTATAATCAATAATTAAAATAAACATTATTATCATTTAATTACCATCAACATGAAATATGAATCACATACCTTGGAGTTCGATCGAGTTTATTTTTTTGACCGTGTCTGTAATTCTCATTTCCAGATCAGTAAGAGGACGTTCTTGACGACTTGATTCCCTATTATCCATGTCCTGACATAAGGATTTCATGGGACATTTAACGTCGTGAATAGGCCGTGTTGAGCTGGTCTTCTCGGAGTGTTTATATGTTGAGTGATCACCTGACCAGTATCTGCTTTCCACATTTCTTGATGACAATTTATAACATCTAGAAGAATTAGAAGAACGAACCCCTTGAGCATTTAACTTCAATTTTCGTAAAGGTTGCTGCTTGACTACTTTACTATTAGAATTTAAGTTGCTATTGGGCAATCCAACTTGGATTTCCCGAATATGATTGTCCTTTTTTTGCAAACCGTCATTGTTTGTGTTGTTGATAGATACGTTATTAACACCACAAGGTCCATTGCGAATTTTTTTATTAATCTGAACCTTTTGTCGCATGCAATCATAACTAGCATTACTACTGCACGAGCCACCGTCACCGCCGGATCCAATTCGATTATCTTGAACTTTCTTGTTAATTGAATTTTCATTCTTTGTTAAACTTACAAGTTTTGTATCATAACTTGAGCCAATCGAGCTATTTGACTTGGTATCAGACCCACTGCCACAAAGTCCAGAGATTCGTTTCTTACCATCTGACTTGTTTTTATTATAACCGTTCGAACTATTGCTCCGTGAACTCGAAGGTTTTCCAAACTTTGTTGCATTCTTTTGCGATTTTGATTTCCTGCCAAATCCTAACTTGCTAGTAATTTTTTCACGGATAGCTGACCACCAACTAACCGATTTTTTGTTCGTGGTGTTGACATGCTTGCCCGGTTTGTTTTTGCCATCGCTTTTTTTATTGGATTTTTCGGATTTTTCGGATTTTTCTTTTGAATCATATTCGATTTTATATGTCGGTGACTGTGACAAGAACCATATTGTTGCAAATGCAATTATTGTAAAACCCCCTAAATATGCAATAGAACTATCAATCATAAGAGTAGTTAGTTGACCTATCCAGCTTCCTTGTAGTAAAAATGAAAAGAAGATTCATTCATAACTAACCGGTATTTTTGTAAATTGCGTTGCCCCGTTATTGATATCCACGCATTGATCAGTGATACTGTTGATGATGTTCCTCCGACACATTTTGAGTTTTTATATAAATATCTTTGAAAGTGAAGACAATTGTTAGTATATGATATGATTCAATAAATATATATTACATTTGTGTCAATGAAAAGTCGGTACTTACTTTTGTTTCTCCATTATATTAATGAATAATTAGTACATAAGTTTACAAAGTTATTAAATTATATACAGTTATTTACACTCTGATTTTTCGTTTTATGAAAAAATCTGTTGAGCAAGAATGTATATGTCAAAGTTAATAACCTTGATGAAATTTGATTATAAAAATTATTTGCTTACCTAGAAAATATTCGCAAATAAATACGTACAAGCTTCTAAACTACTATCATTGCGAGATAAATAAACAGTAAATATATGTTATAAACATTCGAAAAACCCAAACTCAAATAATAAGTTGCGGTCCAAATTTTACATACCTTTTTTTTTGCACTTAAGAACGTTAAAAACCTCTTGCACTTTCAAGTGAAAAAAAGTCAACTGACTCAAGGAGCAGGAGTCGTTAAGATAAACCAAGTATTTGGTTTCAGGCGGCTTTTAACGTCTTTTGGCGCCGTAGTAGAACCAGAGGTTATATAACGTCAATCTCGATGCCTTCAAGTTTTCAGTTATTAACGCGTATTTTTCTATAGAATGATATAAGGTGGTAAAAAATAGTAAAAATAATAAGAAGAAAAGCTTCTTTAGTTATTATTAAGCAGAATTTGTGGAAAATAAGGAGTACGTTGCAAAGGTCTATACCTAAAGAAACAATCACTATAACGAAAAGTAGGGAAGGTGTCTTGAATTCGTTAAATATTAGATTTCTTCTTTCTCGTAAATTTTGGCATTAGTCAATAAATTATGTCAAAAATGTTTAAAACACGAAATAGAAATAACTAGGAACGTAAAAGCTCCTTTTCTTTAGCAATAATTTTTTAAAAAGAGTTTTTATATCAAATTGCACAGACAATCTTGTCACATGAAAGAACGCGTGTAACAAATTTTTTTTTTTTTTAAAAAAAAAAAAAATATATATATATTTAAAAAAAAAAAAAAAAAAAAAAAAAAAGGGAAAAAAAAAAGAGATAAGAAACTTGATCTACACTGGCTGACTCTTATACTATAAATATCTTGAAAAGATCATTGGCGCAAGAGAAAAAAATATTTGCACAATGATGGACAATAATGATGATGATTTTTTTTTTTTTTTAAAAAAGAAAAAAAAAAAAAAAAAATTCTTTGTTATATATAAATATAATCGCTGCGACATTTTTTTTTTGGCGATGTTAAAAGGGATGTTGTACAAACGTGAGTCGGTGTTCGTGCACAAGCACAAAATAAAAGCAAGGTTTATCCTATAATCATAATGTGATACACAACTTTATCCACGATGATGCGATATCTTTTAAAAAAAAAAGCAAAACTGCGCCTAATCGCGCGTATTGAGGATCAAAATTTATTTTATTTTATTATTTATGTATAAATAAATACACGTCAAAAAGAATATGATTTACGGTTAGATTATTATTAATGCATTTAATATCCTATCTTCGCATAATGGTAATCCCCCTGCACATCTCTACACTATGGTTATTACCTGAAACACTAGAATTCTTTTGGAAACTTTTTGATGTCATAAAGAGAAAATAACGTTTGGGAGCTTAAAAGTCAATTCATACCGCAGCAAACAAAAAAAAAGCGGGGACCCTTTTGATTAGGAAAAATATTTATAAATGCAGATCGGCGTAATATGGCGTAAACAAAATTTGTTAATTCTGGCCCGGATTGAAACAACCTTCATATGGTCTAGATAAAATGGAAAAAAAAAATTTTTTTTTTGAACGAATGTATTCATCTATATTCAATCTTTCCAAAAAAAAAAAATGGGTTTTTCTCTTTTTTATTTTTTTTTTGTCTAGATGCAAACACGAAATTTTCTTGGTTGTGGCGTTTCCCGCCTTCATGTATATAATTTTTTTTTCGGAACAATAATTATATTTAATCCTTTATTTAATTTTCATGTGAATCAAGGAATAAACACGAGATTCCTGCGATAAAAACAAAAATTTGAAAAAATTTGCTGCATAATTTGATTATCCTTGAAGCTTTCTTTTCAAAAAAAAAAAAAAGATATATTTATCTCGATATATTATATGCAATGAATTAAAATCTAATTTTTTTAAGCATACCTATTAATTTCACCAACTAACAACTTTATTGTAGATCCAAAATTCACCATTCTTGGTCTTTGGGACAACTTCCTCGTCAAGTGAAAGATAAACGGGGGTTTCGGCACCCTGATCTATTGATTAACAAATATTTAATTATGCCTGCAAACATTTAATAAAATCATATCTGTGCATAGAAATAGAGATTAACATACCAGGAGTTCTCGATGCATTAGGAACTGTCATATCAGTAGCAACCTATATGAATATAACAAACAAGTTATGATACTTGTGTCTCGGAAAAATACATGATTATTTATATTATTACTTACCCAACCTGGACAGCATGCATGAACCAAAATATTTTTGCCTTCACTGTCTGCACGGCGTGCAAAAATCTTGGTTAATGCGGTGACGCCAACCTTTGAAACGGCATACGCTACAATTCAAAAAAATAATATTAAAATCACGTGTTAAGTCATGCGCTCCCAATTTCTTTCAATTTACATTGAGTAGGCCATCCTTCTTCTTTCCATCTGTTTTCTTCGACATCTTTTTCGAATTTTTTCATCAAACCAATCAATCCATTTATATCAAGATCATCTCGGCTGAACTCTTTTTGAAGTTCGGAACTCAATATTTTTAATTTTCCAACACCACTTGATATATTAACTAATCTTCCATTTGGCCGAATTAGAGGATAAAGATGATTGCATACATTAAGGGTACCATAAAAATTTGTTGCTAAAGTTGTTCGAACAACATTCGTATCGAATACATTTCCCCTAAATGCTTAAAAATAAATCATTTAAAGAGTATATTAAAAAATTTTAGACTATAGACATAAATTGCAGTTATTCTAGTTATTGAAGTTATTTACCTATTCCTGCATTGTTAATTAAAATATCAAGTCCTGCGGAAAAGAGAAGATATGAGATCACGTGATTTACCGTCAAATGACTACATTATACTGTACCATTATAGTCTCTTTCAAGTATTTCTCCAACATCCTTGATGCTTTGTTCATCAGTCAAATCCATTCTCAAAAATTTTAACTCTATCTTTCCACTATCATCTTTTAAAATTTGTCTGGATTTTAATTCTTGTTCAATTTTCTTTAAAGATTCTTGTCCAAGGTTTTGATTGCGTGCTGTAAGAAAGATTGTCAGTGGAACGGTTGAAATACGTTGAGCATATTGTAGAGCTAGGTTGCGTACAATCGCATAACCAATTCCTTTGTTCTATAATTGTCTCAAAAAAAAAAGATCTTGGTTTGTACAACATTGAAAAAAAAATGAACGGAATAATTAAAATTTCACTTACCGCACCAGTGACAAGAGCTACTTTGGATAACATTTTTTTATTTTGCTTGGGAGTGGGAAAAAAAATTTATTTCTAGAGCTTGGAAAGAATCTTATACCAATTATATACTATTTGATTACTAATTAACCGATGACGACATTCAAAAAGTGATGACGTAAAGCTTACACCGATAATCCCGCCGAAAGAAAAAAAGATGCATTGCGTTAATGTAACGTCAATCACTCATAAGAATAACCGCGGCATGAATATTGTCGCCAGCTGTTTTCCCGGAAAAATAAATATCGTTTTAGTTAATTTTAAGAAAAAAAAAAGAGAAAATTTATTAGTGACGTGTTAATAACATAAAACAACAAAATTACATAATAATTTTATTTTATAATCCAACCTTTAAGCAAAATTAAAGTTTTTTTTGTTTACGTTGATCTTTTTTGTTCAACAACCTAATAAAGGAATGTTTAACCATATTAAAAATATGTATATCCAAAATTATATTAATTTTGATTATCCTCTGGGTCAAAATCTGGTTTGATTATTTATGTTTAAAGAAAAAAAAAAATTATCCAATCAAGGAATTAATGGGGAGATTTGTTGTTTTGGGGTTTTTTATCCCCTATCCAAGACAATTGGTATTTATTATATTATTGTTTTCGAAAAAATTTGTGTGTTCAAAACTTCATTTTGATCCTGTTGGTTAAACTTGAAGCATAAATTTGGTTAAAAAAATTTTTTTTTTGATTTTTTAATTACTAACGCTAACGATAAGTATCTACATCATATAAAAATCTTTTAAACCAGTTATGATTAATTTAATAAAAAATAATACCTCTATATTATTACAATATAGCGAAACCTTTTATAAGCACATGTTTGTTTATGTGATAAAAATTTGTCCCTTTTTTTTTTATAATTTTATTGATAATTTACTTATACGTTAAATACAAAATAATAAAAGTTTTAAATATATAAGTAATAAAATTAAGAAAAATCTTATTTAATTTATCTTATTTTATTTTATTACAATAAATCATCTAAATGTTTATATTAAATAATATATAAATTTTTATTTTATAAAATTAAATAACTTATGCAATCTTATTAGTGATCTAGTTCAAAGATATATTATTTGGATATTCATATAAATATACAAATATCTGAATAATAGTTGCATGTGATAGATATCAATTGATATTTAAGTGTATATCTGAGATCTGTATATTATATAAAAATACAAATATAAATTAAGGTTGGAAAAGTTCTGATTAATTTTAAGTTTTAAAGATTAATTTTTTTAATTATTATTATTATTAATTTTTAATTAAAATTTCTTTTTAAATTTAAAATATTAGATTTAAGATCTAGTCCTAGAGTCAGATCTTAAATTAAGTATATTTCTAATTTTAAAAATGTTTTTTATTTTAAATTATTAAAAAAATTTATTTATCTCCTTAATGGTTTTGCAGGCAAATTTGCCTGCAATTTTGAAAATTAATAATTGATCGCTAAAAAAAAGGATCATCTGACATCTGAGCTAATCATTTATTAATATAAATTAGTTATTTTTGTCAAGATTTATTAATCCATTAATAATATTTAAATATTTAAT